ATTCCTGCCTATTTTGGGTAAAATGTGTTAAAGTTTTTAAGCCTTTTTGTTAAAAAGATTCAGCCAATAATATTTGCAAACTTAAAAGCCTGAAAATGATATAGTTTAAAAAAGAAAAAAAAAAAAAAAGAAAAAAAAAAAACTCCAATCTGGGTCACCTACTGTGACACAGTAGAAGTTTGGTACGAGTCACCTTATATCTCAGTGAGAGGTGTATCTCAGCACCGACTCCAAACAAAAGATTGGGGAATTACTACTCAACATGAGAGAGAGAACAGATGAAGTTGAATTTGTGTTGAAAAAAAACAGCATGATGTTCAAAATTACGGACAAAATACGGATCTGAAATGAAGTGCAGTTAGAAAGTGCTATACTTACTCTGTTTCAATTTTGGATGGCAGTGGATCCAGATCCGGATACTCATAGTCCACGAGCGCATCCTTATCCATTGTGCCGTCTCTTTTTCAAACAGATCCTGTTACAAAGAAGTTGGAAAACTGTCCACAGTGTCTGGTGACGGAAAGCTGTGATCCCCCTGCCTCGAGGGGGGGGGAAGGAATCTGCCAAATCCTACGTTGGCCTCTGCTGCGGCTGCGGCTGCTGCCCCGGCGTCCTTGTTCTCCTGTGTTTGGTCTACTCTCACTCAGCGTCGGCTACCCTCTCTCACAGTCTCTATTCAGGTGCCCTCGTCCCGCTCTGGTCCTGAGTATAATGTGACAAGTCCCAGCTCCTGCCTGCTGCCTCCACCCTGCTTTAAGGCCCTGTTTCAGCTTAGGGTTACCACCAACAAACCTGGAGAAAAAGAGTGAGAGAGGGGGGCAAGAATGTGAGAGAGGAGGGAGATATGTGGAGATCTGGGGAGCCAATCTGGAAGGCCACCTGTGTCTTACCGGGATTACATCTACTGTTTAAACTCCGCTGGCGGACCTGTTGCTTGTGGCTTAAGAGGCTGGGTGTGCATGGTAATAAAACTCCAGCTTTGACTGTGTGGGTAGCTGGAAGCAATGGGTCTGTCTTATCAGAGCCATTGGAGTTCCACGCCGATAACAGGGAAATTCTACTGTTGTTCCTTTTTGTCGTGGTACAGGGTTACCCTGTACCATGGCAAATCGTGTGTGAAAGGTTACCAAAGGCTAATCAAGGCGAGTCACCAAAACCACATGCGGCAGAATGTGTTTAGCAGGACAGAGAACATTCTCCCAAAAGGTTATATCTCTCCCTCTCAGATGGATAAGAATCAAGGAAGGGCTAATTCACTTCAGTACTTTGTCATTTACTGATAAAGAACAGATACAGGGAACAGAATACAGAGTGCTATGATAAAGTTTGTATACCCCTAAGCATGTTCAGATTTTGTAACATTACAACCAAAACCACTGCGGCATTTTATTTTGACATTATGTGACTCACCGATACAAACGTGTGTGTCATTACAGAGTGAAGAATCCCTGAACTTCTGATTAGATGAAGAGCATATTTAACTATATATTTTTTTAAGACTTTCCACTGAATTTAGATCTGGACCTAATTTATGTGTCTAGTTTTAGGGTTGTTGTCCTGCTGGAACAAGTCCCTATAGTCTCAAGTTTCTTTTGTTTTTTAAGCCTCAAGCAGGATCCTTAAAGCGATCTTATATTGCCACATCGTCAACATTTCTACTTGCATATCTTATTACTTAAGAGACAGAACATAATAATGAAGACTCACCTGCTCCGTGTTTTTGCACAGATCTAAACAAACACATATTTTTCAATTTTTACAACTAAGTGGGCAAACATGTAAATAATTAATCATTAACTTATCTGAATGACGGCTATCAAACGAGAGTTTTGTCGTGTTGTAAGCACCTGTTTTACTGTCCAAACATTGATACAACCTCCTGATCTTAATCCCGATAGTCACAAAGGATTAAGATAATGTCATGTTATCATTTCAGCTGTGCAGAATTTACTGGTTCAGCCTCTTCAAATCTCCCCTGCTGGAGACAGAACAGTCGGGTCCCTTTATTATCACTCTTAAAACATCCATGTCTGAAACTGGGAAAAGTTATATCTTCTACAGAATTTGTACTTTTTCCCAAATTGAGAAATTTAAGCATCATTTATTTTAATGTAAACTGCTAAAGAGCAAACATTTACTTTGCATACCTACTTATCAAAACATATTTGTGGGATTCCTACTCTAAGCAACCATTCTCTGAAAATTCAGCATACTGTATTTACAAAAAAAATTATCTTAAAAATGTTGTTTTTACACAAATTTGAATAATTAAATTTATAAGGTCTGTATTGTCTGTAAATGTCATTGACAGCAATGTTTTCCTTTTGTCTCCAAGTCTGAAATTGCTGTGAGTCTTATTGTACATTCTCAACTTGATTTTAATCTGAAATTGAACAATATGCTTGGATCTAAATGACTACATTATAGATCTGACTAGACGGCAGAACGATGTGTTCAGGTTCAACTTTGGTCACTCTAGTCAACTGACCACAGCAACTTGTGTTTTCTCCTTCCCCAAAATTGGCAGTGGCTAACAGTAAATGGGACTTCATATAGCTTTGTTTTAATAATGCCAAAAGATCAGCTGCTTTTATAACTATTTTAAACTTCAAACAGTTGGACTGCATTTACTAATTGTGTAATTTCTAAAGGCGGTCAGTCAGACTGGATTTTATTTAGGGGCAACAGAGTAATATATATATATATATATATATATATATATATATATATATATATAAAAACTTTTCTCTGCACCTTACAATTTTACATTACTTTGTGTCAGAGTATCACTGAATAAATCAAGTAAAATCCAATGATGGATGTTTGTGGTTGTAGTTTGACAGCATGTAAAATAGATCATTAAAACTTTGGCAAAACATTGAATGCCTGTGGAGATTTACTTTTTGCTTCCGCAGGGAACATGTTTGTTTCTCATACACTATGACTAGATGAAAAGAGTCCTCTAATATTAAAATGCAACAAAAAATGTCCCCTCTAACACTCATGAGAACACAGCACACTAAGTCACCAAATCAAATGTGCTCCCAAAGCAAAAGCAGCCCACCAAATAAAGGGGTCACTGAACAAAGAATGCTTTGAACAGTTACATCACAGAGAGGTGGTTTGATTGAATAAGACACTTAACTTACTTGTATCAGGTTTAGGAAGTTGACTCAAAAGGTCTTTTTTTTTTTTTGTAAGAGGCAAGCTATGTTAAGAACAGACATGAGCCTTGAAAAAAACAGAACATAATTGAGGTTCTGACTGGATAATCCATTTTTAACAATGTAACCATGCAAACCATCAACAGACAGGCTGAGCATTAACAAAGCAATCAAGGAAAATGTTTCCACAGCTTTACAAATCTCATGGAATACCTCCATGTTTCACATTCATATTTTGTGTGCACATTTATGATTGGATTTTAAAAAAAAGTTATTTGATTTCTTAAAATGGAAAATATTAAATTGAAATACAAAATTTTGTCTTAAAAAATGGATTGAAATTGTTCAGATTTCTTTTAAAAGCCAACATGGACTGAACAGCTCGTCTCACTTTATCTGCTGCCATTGCTAAAACTACAGTCAGACTACAATCCCAAAGCAGCACAGAAAATCAAGGTCATTGTTCACAACTTCTCCTTTTGTTCGCCGATTGGCTCAATACAAATTCTACCGGAAAAATCAACTTCAATGGGAGAAAGCCCAGATGGAGCAATGAAGGGAGATTAGAATCAAATGAAATTGGGAAAGAAGTCAATGGTCAGGCTAACTAACAGCAGCTGTGCATTCCCTTTTCCATACAGTGACTAGGAGGGGAGGAGGGTGAATCACCAACATTATCTTGTTGTAGACAAAAAAAAAAAACTAACATCATTTTACATATGGTTATTCGCTACTGAAGCAATACTAATCTGCCATAAGCAAATAAAAAACTACATATAGTTATAAATACAAAGACATGAAAAATAATTTCATCTTTAGCCAGTTACATCTGTCCAGTTTTAAAAATAATTTTAATCTAAAAATATTATCTTAATGTAAAAACAAGTTTTGTAGAGTTTGAGGATTTTCTGGTTTTAATGAGCTCCTCCTCATTAATCTTCGTCAGAAAATAAAACCTGTCATGATTGCATGAGTCAGCTGCTTGCCTTTGTCTTTTAGAGGTTTGCATCAAACAAGTACAGAATGCTATACTTCGTTTCCTCTATTCAATTCCTCTTGAAGTCTGTTAACTTAGTTAGCCTTGATTTCCCTCTGTTAGTTTTTGTTGAGGGGGGAAACAACAAAGCATGTGTTCTTAGGGCACCCAAATGGCTAGCAATGGTCCTACTTACAGCAAAACAAATGCAGACAGACCAGAAGAAACCAAACAAACAGATGATAACTCACCCAGGTGGCTATTTTGACATCATTGAGTTGGGAACAAGATAAAACTGGTCATATACTTTTGGTTCTCTTTGCTGTTTGTTTGACGTTTTAATGCTATAAATATAAAAATAAAACTAAATCAAGACTTATGTTTATCCATTACACAAAAGCCAAAAAAAAACAAAAAAAAATACACACTCATATTCAAGTGTAGTAGAAGTGTTCTAGAATAAAAATCAAACAAACCATTATCTATGGGTTTCACACTGATATCTGATTAGAAAACACAATCACCTGAATGCGTGGACGTTCAAGAAATATAACCAGCTGACGTGATTCCAGTTTTGTGCTTCTCAATTTAAAACAAAATCAGCTGTGCTGACCCGTCATATTTCCCACAGTTGTGAAAGCATCATTTTTTTTTATTTTTTTTTTTCCGTGACAGAACCGGTTGGGTTCGGCTTCAAACAAACCTCACGACAAACTTCAATCCTTTGAAGTGGAGCTTGATCTTCCGAACAAAGGCACTTTCAGCACCGCCAGGTAACCGAGTCACCTGCGCCTTTGCTCTGCGCGCAGGAAACGATCCTGAAACTTCAGCATTGTGGTTAAATAACTGACTCGCATTAAGTATCGACGCTGACTAAACACCGGAACAGATTCTATGAAGCCTTTATGTGCGGTGGTGGAAATCTTTCAGCCTCCTGAAAGAATCACAGGTGGGTGTGCTGGTGAAGCGCTAAGTAGGCTTGAAAAGTTAATATCTACGTTAATAGCAATTGATTTTGAGATTATTATTATTATTATTAATTATGCACACATTTTTTTCCCATTAAATCTTTGACGCTATAAATTGTCTAAAATAATCCCTGCAGATTAGCTCACAAGTTTTTACAAAATTCAGTCCTAAATCTGGCTCTTACCTTTGGTCCGTCTTGTCCAGTTTACTCTTAATTTGAAGAGGCTTTTTTCCCCTCTTCACTTCACAGGCACCTTACAGCAATCCAGTTATTACATAAACAGCGATCTCAAGGGTAACTTTTTTTTCCCCCTGGACACCCATGCTACACAAAGGTGGGACTTTGCTCTGCCTCTATCTTGTGATGGTGAAAGCATCATAAAATGTCTGCTCTATGGAAACAGAAAAAAAAACAATGTTGTGAAACATTAAGTCGTGACTAATGAGGTCAAGTTCAAGTTGTTTTCACTGATGCTGTTCATAGTGAAATCTGTGTGTTTTAGTGTCTTAACGGTGACTTCCAGTGGCGTATCTTGTTTGCTACTAAATGCACAACAAGAAGACAGCTGGGGAATAAAGTTCTTAAAAAATATCATAGAAGAATCACTGTTCTATGTTTGCATTAATTGCATCACTAGAGACACAACAATCAAGCTGATCTGTTGGCATTTGTAATCCATGTGGGCAGCGAATAACTTTTGACAGATGTCAGTGTAGAGTTTTAAGCAATTTTTTTAATTCCAAGTGTTTCTTCTGTGCAGGTTTTCCAACGTTTACAAAGAGTCTGATGACCCTCAAGGCATGAGAGCTAATGCAGTTAATGATGCTATTAAAACAAACAATTACAATAATTGTCTTCAGTACATTTGTTTCGTATTTCTCTTTTGAGGCTTTTTGATTGGTCTTCATTTGTCACTTGCATAGCAATTAAATGTCATATTCTGCTTCCATTAGTGTAAATAGTTACATGATTTGCTAGTGTAACAGCTCTGCATGTTGTCTCAGCTCATACTGTTTAAGCTTACCCAAACAACTTATGGTTTTCTGACTCATACGTGACTTTTTCAGCTTTTATACCTTCAAGAATCCATAGTTGTTGTTTGTCAAACAAGGACAAAAGTAACTTTTTCTTAAACCAATTTTCTCTTTTCCATTAATTTTATTTCTGTTATTCCAACTATTTCCTTAAAAGTATACATTGATTCAAAGTAGCTGTTTTTGCAAGTCATTTAACCAAATTACCAATTATTATCTTACTCTAGGTTTTCTTCTGAGAAAACATTTTGGCAATCTTCTATCCCAGCTGACGTGCAGAATGAACTTCATAGTCATATCTGCAGTGTAACCTATTTGAATTTATATCCAATCTCTTTGGTATTCGTTCCTTTGTGCTCCACATACAGCAACATAAATTGACCAGTTCAGATCGACCAGTTTTGAGAAATATTGTCTTTATATTAAATCATGGCTCCCAAAAGGCCTCCAGGGTGCACAGGGCTAATTACTGTGGATATTTTTTACTGCTCAGTCTGCTCCACAGCCTCTGTCATAATCAATGAGCCCTGTTACAGTCAATTAGAGCATAATTGGATTTTGTGTTTGTTTGAGGTGGAAAAGCGTACATTTGAGCCGACATAAAAGACCTGCTTATCTCTGTCGACAGCTGCAATGAAGCTGAATGGAGTCGGGTAGCTGTTAATATCCAGGATAATTAATGTCGGTGTCAAACATATCTTTAAAAAAATGTTACTGCAACATACATAGTTTTTACGCTTAAGAAAATCCTGCTTTTTTTTTTTTTAAGATTGCTACTGTAGTAGACCCAAGCGCGATGGTTTCCTTCTGAAAACTGTCATGTTTGGATCAGTTTTCACTTCCATTTTTCACATTCCTTAGCGGTCAGGTGGTGGGTTACCCATGCAGAAGTAATAATGAAGAGGTGGAGGAGGAATTTGTCTCCTTGAAACAGAGCAAAGCCTTCGCCAATGGAAACAACTTGTCAGGGCAAGTTCAGTTTATGTTATTATTATTGGTGGTTGATGATGAAAATTGGAAATGTAAGGGATAAACTACATGATAATCTGTAAATTCACGAAAGAGTTTTTATTGGGGCAAAACACCAGCTGTGTTTATGTTGGTCACATGACCAAAGAAAGGTGCCACTCTGACCAGAGGATCTGAGTGGGGCGTCCAGGGTATTCCACGTCGGTGCTTCATCTGAAAAGCTGCAGCTCCTCTACCATCCACAGACTGACTGCCATATAATTGGTTCACATTCTTTCTTGTTTAATTCAATCCACTGAATGCCTACCAGTGACTCATTTTTTGCATCGGACAAGCGACTGAACTCAGAGGATTTAATCACATCGGATACATTTTAATTAAGGGACAATACTCAAAACCTTCATAAATGTGTAATTTTTTTCTATTGCTGCATCTACCAAAATCCAAAAAACATATATGTAACAGGAAGCAACCCTTGGACATTGACCTGCCCATCTCTATCTTAAAGCTCCATTCTGCTGGTCTCCCATTACTGTGATGTATTTTAACACTCCAAGCTGTTTTTGTAGCTTTGTTCATATAGCTCTTTGAAGCATCCTCACAGAGAGAGGCAACTTACAAGGTTATGAAGTTAAAACATGTTCTTCATTTATCATTCACCGTAAAGTTCTTTCAGGCACTAAATGTTGAATTTTCAGTTAGTTTTTGGTATGAAACCTTTAGTTACAAACTGATCCCAAACACAAAATGTGCATCATTGAATGTTGGTCTTAGATATTACCGTTTATGTTCTGAAATGATATTTTTTGCACTTGAAGCTATGCAATATTGTGCGGGGGTTTTAGAAAGATTGTGTTTTGTTAGTCAACAATATTACCCCTCGAGTTTAGGAGCTGTGGTAATGCTTGAATCGGTCAGAGTTAAGTGGCTTAACAAACAAAAGCCCCATTCCTCACGCAGAAGCACTGGGCAGAAAAACGGGGGGGGGGGGGCCAGCCAATGTTCTAAATAAAACTTTGAAACACTAAAGGTCTTTTCATTAGCTTATTGCTCAAGATCACTTGAAATGATTGCAAAAAGTCTGAGCACCGGAAAGTAAAACATAGCCAAGTGAGTGGAAAAAAAACCTTGTGCATAGTATAATATGTCATCTCAATTATACTGTTCAGCTGTAGAAATGTCAAGTCAAATCTTATTTTTTTTAAGGCATACCTTCCTACCATTAAAGACTCTAAACATTTCACATTTTTCAAAAGGATCATCAGACTGGAAAGCTTTTATTTTGTTCATTAGGTTGGCAGGTTCAGTCTTCTAACGGTGTTCTGATATTTACAATTGTTTTGGGAATGTGATATGAGAGCTGAACGTTTAAACATCTAAAAGCTTTTTTTTTTTTTTCTTTCTCTATAATCCGTTGCTTAATGGATTCTTTAGATTGCAATCCAAAGTTAATATCTCTGTAGGGAAAGACACAAAAATAAATTTTAGTCTCACTGGTCATTTCTGCAGTGATGTATCACTGTTATTTTGCTGCGCAGAAAGAAACAGATTTATTTCAGAGTTTATGAGCACAGAGAATGAGACATTATATCTAAAGAGCTTGTGACAAGTACAAATCATCCTGATGGTTATTAAAGTGGTCATGATTACTCTGTTGAGGACGGCGGTGTGCAGTGCTCACTGTGTCATGTTCCTGCTGCGCTTGCCTGACAGGCACCTGAAATTTATGGCAGGGAGGCAGGGTTGAGTCTGAGCTGCTGTGTAGTAATCCTCTTTACGTAACGGCTCAGAAAACACCTTCAAACACACTCCGGAATTTAATTTGATTTTTCACGACCTGTTTATCTAAGGTAATGGTTTCCAGTGTATGATTAAACACTGTCTGGGGATAATGATGGTACACACATGCACTAAGACTAAGGTGCGGTTTATGAGATGAACCTTTACAAACTGAGACGTCGTCTGACATAAAGTCTGCGAACGTTTTCGGCAGATGTCTCATTTTATCTACTGGAAAAAGCTCAGTGAGTTTTCATGTGTCCTGTCGGAGACCGCGAATGATAACATATAATCTTTAGGAAGTCTGCTTGTTTTCATTGCATTGCTCTTCGTGATGTGTGTTTATGTTGTCGGGTAAGTGTGTGTTCATGTCTGTTTTAGCCGGGGTGTTGTACTTGCGGGTGTGATTGATGTCCTTGCTCTGGTCTCTGCTGGGTTATTGTCTCTGTGTGTGAGGGGGTTTCTGATGTCTCACTAAGCATAAATCTAAAGCCTCTGCTGATCTGCTGGCCAAGAGTTCAGAGGAGTATTGGCTTGTTGTTCAGTTTTGTTTTTGTTTTTTAAGACGTCTTTTAACATATCAGTGATGATAATGTTAAATTTTTGCAGTCACTTCCAAGTTACCTTTTAACTGGTAAAAATAGAGACTAACCTTAGAGCTTCCCCTGAAATGCCAGAATGCAGTACAAATGTGGAAGAAATATATTTAATTATGGCCAGAGAAATTTCTTGAGGAAATAATTGTGCCAATATAGATTTCTGACCATGGTAAATGGATTTTGTTTTGGTCTTATGGGTAATTTTGCTATTTCACACATAATAGTTTTCAATTATTGTATTAATACGAACTCTTTTCATTTACTTGGTGCATGTAATGGTTATCTAAATGAGACATTTGTAAAATTATACTTTTAGAGGTAATTGAGGACAAAAAAGGATGGGGGTCATAATATTTTGCAATCTGTCAGTGTGGAGTTTGTGCTTAGATCTTCAGGGTTTACTGTTTTTTTTTTGTTTGGTTTTTGTTTTTACTCTGTTTTTTTTGTTTTTTTTTTTTAATTAAGATCCATTATGTTCCTTTTAATTGTAGCTGATTATTCACCATTTTTTGGAACTGTTTGAATTAAGGCCAGAGTGTTTTCCATGTTCATGAATTTAAGGTCTGATTATTGTCGAGTCCCTTCATCAGACAATCACTTGTGCCACAGGCACTAAGTCTGTCCACTCCTCATAAAATCGAGGCGGCCTCCTGCTCTGTTAGATTTTTCTTATGAATAATGCATTCATCGTCTGAGGCTGCAGACGCGTCTCACTGTGTGTTTAGAGATGCTTGACTTTCACACGTCTCTGCTGGAATGAGGATGAAGCAAGAGCTTGTCTAAACTATCAGAAACTGCAGGGAAAATCTTAGAAACACAAAAGGAAAGAGCAGATATTCCTCCTGCTAGATGTTTGCATTGGAAGCCTGACAATGGTGACTATATTCAGGTTTGTATGTTTTCCAGTGATCTAAACTAAAACTGTAAACAACAACAAAAAGCAGCGGCAAGTT